ACCCTTTCCATAACTTTTGAACTTGTAGTACTTGGGCCTTCCATTTTCATAGGTGTATTCATTGTGACAAGAGCTTCACCTGGATACCAACAATTTTGACCATGACCTCAGAGTTTGACATGCGTTTGAGAAACTCCAGTCCTTGCAATAACTGCTGTAAAGGGTGCATTTCGATATAAAAAGTTTTGTAACCCCAGTACCATATTTTCTGTCTCTTTCCACCTGCATTCATTAAATTATTTTATGCTTATTTCTAAAACTACATTTATTCTAAGTAAATTTCGTGCGCTTTTAAGAGTACAATGTATTTAAAAATGTATATATCTTATATGTATGTATTGAAGCGAGACTTACATTGGCAATGCCAACTGCCAAGTCTGTTTATGTACATGTGTCTTATTTAAAGAGTTCATTTTAACTAGATTCGTTTCAGGAAACGTTTTGTACTTATGTCAACATATTCAGCAAATTCATCAATGATGGTTACGTGTATGGATTTTTAGGTTCTTGGTTTCATTCGGAACCAGTGTTCAACTTGGCATAATATTACGTTGCTACTCTGTAGTAAAAAATATTGATAAAAGGCACTTTAAATGTACGAAAAGACACTTTAAAATGTACGAAATAAGTTTTTTACCTGGGGTCTAAACAAGAGGCTAAACCGAGGCATTGATTGAAATAATAACATGGCCTTTTTTCAAATCCCCCATCGAATCTTTATTTTGCAAACAAATCCATTTAAAAATCCCGCAGTACCGAATAGGAGAAGGCTTCTTTTTAGTATTGTAACGACTTTAAGGAATAAGACAGCAATTGATTTTATCTATTTAATTGTATGAAAACTCGCGTGGTGACGTTTACGTTAAAAAAGACCTCGAATCAAATAGCAGTTAATGAGCTGTCTGTATGGAAAATACCATTAAAATCAAAATTGCAAATTCCAGAGATTTTAAAGACTTTGTCCATGGTTACGTTTGGAATAAAGGCATCAACTTTCACTGGAATAGCAAGGTTAGTCATTATTATATCCAATTCTTTTCTGGTTTTCTTTTTTTTACAAATTGTAATGTTAATGCAAAAGGGTCTGATTTCAATGGAAGCATTATAAATTCTGATGTTATTCAACTGTTAAAAGGAAATACACTTTGTTTTGTTTAGGATGAAGTAAAATCCAGATTGTAGGCTTAAGACTAACCACTCTGTCTGTTAAACATGTATAAATTATTTGAATTTTAACTCTTCTTTCTCTTTACCCAATTTCCCAAATGGCGATTAAACACAACTTGTGTGTATAAATCATAGACCTATTCTTGTTTCACGTAACTTTTTTTCGAAACTGTTGAGTAAGCTCTTTGTTTAAGTGGTTTAATTTTATTTATTTTAAGATATCAGAATTATTTATCTATGTCAAAAACTCTGAAACCGCTCGCGTGGCACTTGAAACATACACAAAGTATAGATCTGATCGTTCTGTCGTAACCCATTTTATGCATACAATTTAATATCACCGCATTGGCACAGTCGTAAGCTTTTCAAAGCGTAATGAGAGGCAATAGGATTAAAAGATAATCTTATAATCTCATACACACTGAATTCCTGTGCAGTTCTGTGGGGTACTTTTTTCAAATATCATGCACTTTTCGACTCATGGACATACCTGGTATTCAGATCCAAAGTTGTGAATCTTAATTAATATTCGGTGTGGATTTTGCAAAAGGGAAATATTAATTAATACATGCTGACAGGTCGGTCATTGTTTGATTTCGTGATAGATATTATTCGGTTAGTTAATTTGGTTTTATTACGCGTATTTTGATATTATTAATTCCACAGCCCACACGTAGATGTATACGACATTTGGTCCTAATTGAATGATTTTATCACATGTACATGTATATAGGAAAGTATGTAAAGCAAATATTAAACATTTTATTCTGTTCTTGTTCAGTGATGTATTTTTTATGCGTCATTGTTCTAAATAAACTGCAATAATTGAAAATACATGTTACGTGCAACTGTAGCTTTAACTTCGAAGAAAAAAAAAACTCATTCCATTATAATGCACTGCCACATTCATTTGCCACAGTAAATACAGTCAGGTGAAATTGACATTTTAAATAGATTTTTTTAATGATAGCACAATATTTTTACTGTGCCATTAATTCTGAATAACTTTCGCAACTTTAATTTTCGACGGCAATTTGTGACTAGGCTTCGAATTCCGGCAGCAGAAATTAACTGTGAATGCTACACTATGTAAACAAGGAATTGTTCATTTGTTAACAAAAACTTTAAATCTCAACTCCTTGTTGAACGATGTTCCGTTTTCTCCATAGTTCTAATGTTCGCCCTCTGTTCATTTAAGGCGGAGGTACATTAGAGTATATGTGTAAGACAAACATCGTCTCAATATGGTGTTTGCGTTTAGTGTATTCGGTGGGCCCGGGGTTTATTAGAAGTTCATTTCCATAAGTAGTCCAAAAGAAATCACACTCAGCTCTGATTAATACGGCACACAAGTGGAATTTATTTTCTCAAGTTAGAAAAAATTAAAGATCGACGAAACGTAATTACAAACATATTTTAGATGTGATGTTTTTATGTATTCATAAAGTCACGGAACTCCAGTAAGTGTAAGTACAGTGATTTGCTTATTTTTGTTATTATTAAACTGGTAGCTACATGTACCACATATAACGGGAAATATAGATTGTGTGTGTGTAAGAAGTTTCATATTAAGAGTAACTGCAGCTTGTATGTAATGGAATGATACTTGACAAGTACCGATCTGTCCTCGTAGCGATAAATTGCCAAATTGGAAGACGAGTTTAAATGCTATCTTCTCAAAATATCTTTTTATGTCGATTTTTTTTCTACTTCAAAAGGATTATGCACATATTTTGATCAATACGTATAACTCTTAGATACACAAGATTTCTTTTTAAAACATTGATTTGAATTTATTGATTATTTTCTCTTGGTTTAAGTTTTCTTTGGGAAAAAAAGTTCTTCAGATTTAAGATAGTTCTATTTTGCGTCTCTAGTATTATGTGATAGTATAATTTATATTTGTGAAATAGAAGTATAGTCGTGATTACTTATGAAATTAAAGCTGTATAATCGATAGAAATGAGTAAAAACTGTTTTGATAAAGTTTATTCATAATATAAAATTTGGACAATACAGTCCCTCAGTTTAAAGTGATACATGTACCATAAAATGTTGTAACATTTTTTACAGAAATTATAACTCTCAAGAAGTCTAAAAAAAGGGGGGGAGACTAATTCACATATATTTCAAAGAAAAATATTAGGGTAATAAATTAACAATACGTACAAAATAAAATCGATATCTTCCACATAAACATACATTTTTTATGGAGATTCATACTATGAGTGTCTAATAATTAATTTTTGATTATAACTCGATCATTCTTTATTTTATGCAGTAATGTTTACATCCAGTTGTGCCTTTAAATTTGATATTTACAGTATACATATTTAATGCATGAAAGTAAATTTCTAGATTACGAACGTATCACAATTCAAGTAAACAAAAAAATTAAATACGATTTGATTGATAATGATTATTTCTGAAGTTGTTTACTACAAAAAAAAAAAAAAAAAAGAAAGGTTTAGTTTAAAAAAAAACTTGTACTGAATTGAATGTTCCAAAAATATTTTCTCAGTTTTTTTTGTTTGTTTTGTTTTGATTTTGTTTTAATCATAGATTTTTAAAGACAATTTGTGAAAAAAAAAATACTTACATATAAAAGAAACAAAGTTATTTGGAATGATTTGTGCTAATATTTTTGTTTATACACTACGAAGTACTTATTAATACAAAGGTCCTTGCAGGTGTACTTTCTATATATTATTTATGAATATATAAAAGAATTAAGAAACAGTGTTTGACCTTTTTACAATGGACTTAAATGCAATTAAAATATAGTTTTAAAATGTTTGATATAAAATCGGATCATAGCAGACCCGAATACAGATTTAATCTGTTTATCGATCTAATTCTAATGCTTCATAATAAAGGGGACCAAGTTTTCTAAACCAGTGTGTTGTTGTGTTTTAAAGAAAGAAACATTTCACCGGAAGTAATTTATTATTTTGAATGAATCGGTCTTATTAAAATTTCTTATACATGTAACATAAAACCTGAACGAAAAAAAAAGAATAAACTTTATAATTCTTTCCTTTCACATTTAAACAAGGATTAATCGTAGCCCTGAGCTCATTATTTTTGATTGACACAAAGAAGTTTATTTAACCTTAGATTTAAAAATAATTTTTGAAACTAATATGTTTCATTGTTGGACTTTGATATTCAAAATATGCATTGCATGCTTTTCATGTGACTAGCAATACGAATATACAATGTATTTATCAATTCTACTTTAAAGATATAAACACACTAATGGACTTTAATTCATAATATTTCTATATTTCGACTACAGGTATTTGGAACTTCTTTTTTTTTATTTAATTTTTAGTCAAGGTCAGTGATTCCAAAATATCTCTTGTACTCTACATAATCAATATGAAAAAAAAAAACAATTCCAATTTCGTAAACATATTTGATTAATTAGATATCTTGATATTAATTAGTTAGCCACTAATTGGGTTAGATTCCGAGCTATGGGATTTTATCAATTCCCAGGATATCAATTTCTTGGTCATTTTTCTTACATAGACTTAATCAGAGACTTAGATATTAGATTTCGATTATTGATTTTAAAGGTAGATTCTTTGATGGAAATATCAATCAATCAATGTTATTTGTCGAAAACATCATTCCATGCTCGAAACAATTGTTTTCAAGTGCCCAAACATTGTTTGATATTTAGTGCGATAAATTAAATTTTTGTAGAGTAGCAAACATGTAAAAACTGAACAGTTTAAGAAAATACAGAAGTTGACTTTTTAATGAGAATTTTCGTCTGTATTTTTGCAGGTAATGAACGACAGTGCTGGGAAGTCTTAAATTATGGAACTGAGAAATCCGAGATTACTACCTTGAATAATTAATTTGCGAAATTCATCAACATACTCAGGGAAAAGATGCAAAGAAAATAGCTGCAGAGATACACATCTTTAAAGAATTTTGATCAACATGGATGTAGTGAAGCAGATTATCACCCGTCCCAGAGTTCTTCGCTCGGACCCGGAACTGGAAATGCTCGTGGATTTCTTCCGGAAGAAGAGTCCTCTTCTGCAGAACCTGGACAAAAGTGGGTGACGAAATTCCATCATGACAATGATATCTACGTAACCATCATACATCTAGATGTGTGATCATGATATCTAAGTAATCATCATACTGATAGATGTATAATCATGATATCTACATACGTGTAACCATCATACATCTACATGTACATTTCTGATCATGATATCTGCTTAATCATAATACATCTAAATGTCTGATCATGATAACAACATAATCATCTTACATCTAAATGTCTAAGGTATCAACGTAATATATCTATGTAATCACAATACATCTAAATGTCTGATCATGATTTCTCTAAGTATTCAGCATACATCAAATTGTCTGATCATGATTTCTGCGTAATCATCATGCATCTAAATGTCTGATCACGATATCTAAGTAACCATCATGTATCTCTAAATTTCTTATCATGATATCTACATAATCATCATACAAATGTAGCTGGTGCGTGAAATCAGTATCATGGTCAGACATTCAGATGTGTGATGATCATATTGATATCAGGATTGTAGACTTTTAGATATGTGATAATTACAAAAATATAAGAATTTTAGACATAATTATTATAATTACTTTTGATAGCATGATCAGAAATTTAGATTTGAGATGATTACATAGATATCAGAGAAAATTTTAAAATATTAGAGATATAATAATTACATTGATATCATGATCGGACATTTACACGTATGATGATTACATACACTGTAGATATCAGGCGATCATAATCAAACATTACGATATGTGATGATTACGTAATTAATATCATGATTAGACATGTAGATGCATTATGATTGTAGCTGATGCATTAAAAATAATTTTAAATATATAATGATCAGACATTTAGATGTGTTACGATCATAGCTGGTACATCATATTGATAACATGTTAACATATTAAAATTGGTATTTGTGATGATTCAATATATATATGATCAAAATACGCATTTAACTGTTTTGAGCATGATATCATAAAATAAACATGTACCAGTTATGAATTGATTACATCTAAATGCCTGATTCCAATATCAACGTAATGTACCAAAAGATATCCACAGGTCGTGAACAGAAAAGTGCAAATACTGAATCTAAAATAGTTTCAGCATATGGCTAACGTAAATATTTTAAAAAAAATTCAGTTATAGCAATCTGAATGCACCTTTGGAAAATTGCACTTTAATCAATTGTCTCCACGCCAATCATGGGGAGTATAAATTATACTTGGGTGGATTTAATTCCTTTAAGGCAGCTATCATGGAGTTGTAGTTATACGTGCACTTTGACAATCTTGATTTTTTGAGTCCGATTTTTATGTTAGATATGGCGAATAACACTGCGGGCTTTCAGTTTTAACGAGAAGACATGCTAGATATAATTATATATGACTGAATTTCCCCTCTTTGTTGTTTTGAAATGTTATTGTGATTTTACTACTTTTATCCACCTACACATTGTAATAAGTTCAAAATTATTTAAGATTTGTTTTTCTCAAAGTTTTAGGCACGTACATGAATATTGTTTCTTTTTTCTTTTTTAATTATTTATATCTTTAAGTAGTTTTTAAAAGCGACATTGTGAAAATCAAGTCGGAACAACAATAATTGAATATGTTTTCTCATTTCAGATATTTTGATGGACATTGGCAGAAATTGTACTTACCATAAATGCACCAGGGACGACATTATAATAAAGCAAGGGGAAAAAGGAGACGCGTAAGTAGGATAACTCTTACATAGACATTGTGAATTATACATATTTCTCAAATAGAGTAACTTCCCTTAGATCATTAAATTAAAGTATTGGTTTCTCAATTCAGTAGTATTTTAAACAAGTGCTTTTATAATCAAAAGTATACAAATACTAGTACTTTTATAGAAAAGAAAAACTTTAATAATCAATGGGTCCAAAAATAAAAAGATTTACAAAATGATCCAAAAGCTTGGAATGGATTGGATGTATGTTACATGTATATCGTTAAAGCCATTTTAAAAACCACAGCTTTACTTAGTATGACAAAATCGTGTTAAAACGTAAAAATCAATCAAGCTATCGGGACAGGGGATTTAAAAAGGATTAGTATGGAGCTAAACACAAGGTCAATTCTGAAAGTTAAAAACCTGTAAGAGATCACTTGACCTCAACTGTAGGCTGCTACTACAGTCGCTAAGAAAACTGAAAATCACAGAATATGAGGAGCCCATGCTCCAGTGCTGTCAATATTCTCATGCTCTCTCTCTCTCTCTCCAGGTTTGAATTGCACAGTTGTTAATTTAACCATTACGATTCCATTACATTTACAATTTGGATATCGATTTTTACAATATGATACATATATAGATTGTTTAATGTTTTGGCCATATGACAGATCTCTCTCTCTCTCTCTCTCTCTCATGCTGATTGAGAAAATGTCAGAAGTGAATATCTCAAATGCAATAATCCCAACTCTTTTTGTAGAGTTTGAGAGAAATTATAATTTCAATTTGTGTTTAACTTCAATTTAACAGAATAATATTGTTATCAGTGAATACATATCCCAATAAGCGTTTAATAGGAGATTCCATTCTCTCTCTCTCTCTCTCTCTCTCTCTCTCTCTCTCTCTCTCTCTCTCTCATACTGATTGAGAAAATGTCAGAAGTGAATATCTCAAATGCAATAATCCCATACTCTTTTTGTAGAGTTTGTGAGAGAAATCTAAATAATTTCAATTTGAGAACGAATTTAACTTCAATTTAACAGAATAATATTGTTATCAGTGAATACATATCCCAATAAGCGTTTAATAGGAGATACTTGAGTATCACCGTATATTCCCTGCATACAGTGAAAACGCCTTTTCCCATAGCACTTAAGCCAACAATGTCTGAAAATCAAGCAAAATCAAAAATGAAAGGTCATTATATTATCTTATCAATGAAAAGATAGCAAACATTTAAAATTCCTTTCCCTCTCTGAAACGAATTGTGAAAGCAACAATCACCATTATTCCTATAGCTACTTATAAAATAAAATGGAATGGTCGAAAGTTTTGTACACATTTAAATTAAAAAGTTTATTTGAAAGTGAATATATTGTTTACTTCATATATAAACGTGTTAGCTCTGGAACTTCTACATGTGTAAGTTTTTGGTAAGTCAGTGAAATTTGTACAAGAAAGGCTTAAGGTATATACGAGTTTGATTAGAAACTCAAACGATGATAGTAAACTCTCAGAAACAAAAGTTTTCAAAGGAATAAGACACGATATTAAAAGGTAATTATTTATTTTCTTTTTACGATAATATTTGAGATTTACCGAAAATAATGAAAGCATGTTTTATTTTTAAGACTGTCAAACGTAAACTGGATAAAATCTGTTAGAAGTTAAATACTTATTTAATATACTGAGTGCACATTTCAGCACATTTGTTGTTTCAGCTGTGATTGTCTAGATTTTCATTCTGAAATATTGAAATACATTTAAGTTTGTATGATTTGTACATTTATTTTATTTAACTCAAGAAGCACATTCCAAAATATATATAATGACTTTATTTCTTAAATGATACCCCCCGCCTCCCATATGAATATAAGCTCCATGTTTTGCTCTGGTAAATCCTCAAAAAGTAAAATAGGAGGTGCACAATGGCAATATGTAATTGAAAAAAAAGATCAGCTTAGTGGGGATGTTTACAGAATCGCACATCCCGCCCTCCCGAGCGCTTGAAAAAGACACAAGTTTTCAAATCCCCAAGTTTTGGACAATAAATCCCTCTTTTTAGGATACCCCCCAGTACATCCACGTGCCTTCAAACAAGACAATCATTCCATTCGCCAAATCCCTTAAGGGGTAATTGGTAAAATGCAACAGGTCCATCCCAATCCCATTTATCAACTCCCTCCAAACCGTGCCCTTGGAACCTCACCCCACGCGATCCGCTCCCCGGCCTCCCTGTCCACTGAGTTCCTCATTATTCTGCACATTATGATTCCCCTTACCTCTTCACCTTTCCAAGGGGCTTATGTTTTCCGTTAAATTGTTATCTTTGTGCGTCGCACGGCGGACAATGATATCAATGTCAAACGTCGAATTCTTGCTTTTTTTCTTTATTTACATATTGTTGACATTCCAATCACTAGAACCCATATCTATATATCCAGTTATACAGGTGTTGATAGCGATATGCTTGGTTTGTATTTGAATTATTTCGTATATCGAATCGTCTTGACTTTTCTGGGGGTAATTATTTGGATTTCTCCGCAAGGTATTTAATATTCTGAGGTAAGAAACTTTACATATATGTATATACGAACATGTATCTCTCTTGTTTTCCAACATTAATATATATATGTCTTTTAAGAAAAAATGATTTTGTTGAAAACGCTCCTAAAATCATAGAGATGAACAGATGACTTAGTATTGGTAGTACATGTATAACGAAAGGATGAGAGTTGGGGGGATTAAGTGTTGATGTTTAGCATAAGGATGACCTTATTCTTGATTTGTTGTAAATTCGAACATATTAAAGACTGTACCTATTTTGGTATCAAAGTAGATCTCTTTCTACAACACTCCTTATTTTTGCTGCAAAAAGTATTTTGATTTGCTGCATAAATTGCTCGAAGTCCAGTGGCTAGAAAAATTGAATATAAAAGTTATTCCGAGCTTGAAAGGTCAATCAAATGTTGAACACAAAAAATTAATGCTTCAAGAAATTGTGTTGGACTTAACTGTTTTCCAGTTATTTCAAGAAATAAAAAAAAATCTTAGTGACGTTAGCGAAACATTGGTTTCCTTCGGGAAAAAAATGTCCCTTTTTATTCGAAGTTAATAATCATTTGAAATGTCAAACAATCTTCGATACTTATCAGTGAAATGTTAAAAGAAGAATTAAATGTCCTAACAATTTCAGATGAACACATTAAGAAGTATGCACTTTAAAAATTTAATGGATTTAAATGCATGTCACAATGAAAACTCCACTCCTCTATGCAGGTTTTTATCAGAATTCAGAAACTAATGATGTCCCGAAATCAAATTACTACGATTATGGACAAAAGAAACCACATTATTTAACTATCTATCTTTGTTGTAAAAGTCGAAAAAGAAGGACAGAATAAATAGCTTTATTATGCAGAAACACGTTGCAGTAGATATCTGGCGTTTTTTCAGAGGATCCTATAATTTGGAAATAATAAATTTTGTTGCATTCAAAAGTAAGTAATTCCTTAAAATTCTTAAATTAATCTTTGTTCTTTAAAAATCGTTCCAGGAATTATTTTATACCAAGCTTGATGACTGATACATTTGTTTTATTTCTGAAGGTCACAGATGTAGAACATTTATTTGTAGGACTCGATACATGTAAAATGACTTTTTACTTTATTTTTGTGCCATTTATATAGTCACATTGAAATAAAAGTGTATGCTTTTGATTGAAAAAAAATTTATCCCTGATGATACTCCAGAATGAATTTTATAGATTGTTGAGTTGCATTCATTAAAATGTATGAAAATAGGTGTGAATTTTAATATTTTTTACTGAGAATTTTTATTGACCTATAAAATCTTAAGAGTTCCCAGATCATGGGGAGGTTATTAGAAGTCGGAACAGAAAAATGTCCACAATTTATAATTCATTAACATTCTTTGCTTTTTTCATGTACAGCATCATACCACATCATTTTTTCTTATCATAATGTATGAATTTTACAGGCGATATGCTTGTGTTCATATGTACGTATTAAGGAAATAAAAAAAAGGTAATTATAGATATACGAAAGATTATACGCAGTAAAAAAAAAATTGGCATATCCTCGATCAGCAAAAAATTGGATTTGTCCTCTACAAAATTCTGAATTTTTCAATTAAAATTTGTATATGTCAATATATAGTCATGTACTCATTGGAAAAATTGTTAATTAGTAAAGGCAGGTTATTAATATAATCTATTTGATTGGAATTATACATGTATATTGTATATATTAGTTTAAAGGAAGAAGACGAATTTAATCGGTATGTATGTCTGTTGGTGATAAGGTGTAGCATGTTTTAGCTGGTTGAATGTAAAGCTATGCGATATGGATTCCAGATTTTATTGACCATTATGAAGGATTGCTAAGGACAATAGATGAACAGCATTGATGCTTTAATCAGGTGTTGGAAATAAAACAGTCTTAGTTAGCTAAATGTGTGGGGATAGGTGAATCATACCAGATAACATTGGAATGTCATTGGAAATAAGTAGTGGAAATTCCACATACAGTAAAATATCACAAACGAACATAAAAATGATCTTATGTATACTCAGTATATGGTTATCATGTATATATAGTATGAGACCTATTAATCAAGATTGCTTTAGAAATTTGCTAGTCGCTTGGTTTAAGCCTAGTTGGCTGCTAGATTATTATACATTTCATGTACATGTACGTTCCATGTAATTTATTTTAAATTCAAGTCTTCTAATATTTCTCACCATGCCGTCAAAATTAGCAAACATCTGACATTAAATTATTTCTTTCCAATTCCATTGTGGGCAAAAAAAAATACATTTATGAAGTTATAACCTTGTGAAGACTTAGTCCAAAAAGAATGCATGGAACTACAGTGTACCTGTACAAGAAATATGAGTAACTTGAGGGATTGAGTGATCATGTATATTAGTGGATATGGTACCTCATATACATGTAGTATGATAATTAATAAACCTAAGTTGAGATCAACCTTTTGTAAACAAATATGAATTTGTTTAAGGACAGATGATATACAAACATATTTTTGGGTCTGTTTTTGTTGCAAATGATGCAAAATATATATATATATATATATTTCTAAATTATGAGTATTTAGAAATAGTAAACCTATTATGTTCAAAGTTCTACCTTTCTGCAATGAAATGTATCGAGACAACGAACAGTATTCAAGCTCAAAAGTTCATTAAACAATACAAATCAAGAGCACAGCAAACACGGGCCTCTAAAACATAAAAACCATTCTTATTTATCTATACCTTTTTTCACTTCCAATCTCATTATTGTGTAACTTTGAATACATTGTAAAAACTATGCAGTAACACTTGTTCATTACAAGGGCTGTTCAATAAATAATGTCCTGAGCTCTATGACATACAATATACAAATCATATGACATTAAGCTTGATTTTCTCTAATGATGGAATCTTTAATGAATTGATTACAGTTTATTTGACTAATTTTCATCACATAGTTTCATTGTGAGAAGCTGGAAAACAAGGGCTATTCGAGACACTGCATTAAAAAAGAATTGTAAAAAAATCAGTAAACAAGAGCGAAATTACACTCTTCATGAAAGCTGCTGTAAAACTCGCGAAGAATCCCAAAGAAATATTCCCTGAAATATGTGAAATTTACAGGAACTAATGTCTGTTTTATAGACGCCTGAGCAGGTGGATTTCATGAACAAAAATGATATAATGGGCATCAAATTGGGTACCGTCCTTGGCGACAAATACTTACAACAACCAATGTAATGTTAGCGAAATTTCAACAAATAATCACTGATGATGTTTGATTGAATTTAAGACACATAGCAAAATTGATAGGCGTCATTTTGGGGGCAGTTTATAATGTTTTAAAGAAACATTTGACAGTAAAAAAGCTTAATACTCAATGATCACCCTATTTTTTTGAAAAATGAGTGAAAACAACAGCGTGTAAGAATATCTAAACAATTATTTTAAAAAATCAAAAATTGGAGTTATCCACGTTTTTCTAACATTCAAACAAATATTGAAACTTGATTTCATTGCTTTAAACCCTCAAAACAAATTTACAATAAGATGCACTTGACAAAAACAGCCAAGGTCTGAAAAAGCAAAGAATTTCAAAAGCAAAATAGTTTTATATATCATTTTCGTAAATATTAGTAGTCTTATTGTTCAAATTCTTATTCGGGGAGGCAGTTCAATTTTTGGAGAAGTCTAGAAAGCAAATTTTTGCCAAAAAATGGAAAGGTTTATGAGAGGATGGAACCAGAATCAAGAATCCACTGCTTTAAATTTCGTCATGACAGCGTCCAAACCCACAGGCCATGAAGAGTAAAGTAGTTTTGGGGATAAATAGAAAGCTATTGTTTTGTCAAACCAACAATATTTGCCAGATCTTTCACCCTTTGACTTGTTTCATTTTCCAAACTTGAAAAACACCTTTCAGAAAGAAGAAACAAGTCAAGGAAATCATGATATCTGCCATATTCCAGTATACGAAGGGCAATACTCAAAAATGTGTTTTAAAACCAATCAGAATTTGGATAAAAATGTTACGGACATGTGTTTCAATTGAAAGAAAATATTTAAGGAAAATAATTGAGGCTAAATCCTTGAAAAGCGTTTTTGTTGCTTTACGAGCACCGATGACATTATTTATTGAACAGCCCTCGTATTGTCGCATAATCCTGACTCAAGTTGTTTTTTAATATTTTTTTTTGTCAAAAGTTTGTATCTTCTGTCCTTAACATTCTACGAACTAAAGACAAGAAAACGTTCCTTTTTTCATGAATATAAAAATATCTTCGTGTCTTCAATAGACTGCAACATCAAGCTTACTTCCATATTTGTTTAGAAACTTATTTGCTTTTATAAGCTTGCAAAAGAAACCCAGTACTAAAGAAATTAGATATCTATATGTGATTTTAATATTTCATGATTGTCTTCTTGTGTTATCAGCATGCGCGTTGATGAAGATGGGTACGTTACTGTTCGAGTGAAGTTTGTTTCATTATATAACATTTTCTGAGTGAAGCATAATTACCAATAAAGATTTTTCCCCATTTTGAAGCATGCTTTTATCATTTTACTTATTTTGAAATCTATGATGCATGTTACAGATAAAGTACTAATGATCAAATGCCTAGTAAGCATTTGTCAGGTAAACAAATATAACTGATTCCGCATTTTTCAGTTCGATAGCTACAAATTATACTTATAATTTTCTATGAAGCAAAATTCAAACAAATATAAACAGTATGCCTATAATGTGTGTTTCGATATTTTGTTAATGCTTAACATTTTATTGCTTGATGTACAAAAAATATATATTGTTTTAAGTTTGTGTTTTGCAGCTTGTACTCGGAATGTACATTTATACACTTGAACCAATAATGAAAAATGACGAATTCAGATAAAATATTTTAACGTAAATGTAAATGACAGTTATAAAATTAATAATATAATTTTAAAAAATCCCGAATTTAAAATTGATTATTTTCTTACGTCAAAACCACGTTATATTGAGTTTATTTTCTGTGAATATTACACAGGGACATCCCGGAAGATGATTGGTAAGAATTGTCACGTGACTTTTGAGAATGGTGTGGTTGCTCGATCCTATGTAATTAAGCGCATGCTCTTGTATGAAATTGAAATGTTTAATTGCATGAACAAGAAAGTAAAAACTTTATATTATTAATCAATTGAATACTAACCTCTCAGGAAGAAATTATATTGGAAGATGTTACATGTATGTGTAGGCATGTTAATAGAAATAAAAATAAAAAAAAAAAAAACTGGTAAATTCCTACGTTGAAATCGATGGTTCCTAAATGTAGCAGTGTTGTAACGTTTTACAAAATCTCAGTTCGAGAGCCGACTTGCGCTGTTAGAAGTTCATTAAGACGACTAGTACTTTGAAGTGTTTTGGTATTGGTGTGGTTATAAAGCTACGGTTGAATGAAGCTTTGCTTTAGATGTGATTTAATTAAAATACGTCAGAAAGAACGCATTAAGATAGATATGGTCATAAAGAGATTGGCTTTTTCAGCTGGATATTAGCTTATTTTAAAAGTTGTTCGATAGTTTCCCTTCCAGTGACATAAAAATACCAACCTGCAAACTTCATCTTAATAATCTGTCTTTTATTGGCTATATGCATCTTTTTCTGTGAAAAATGACATGATTTGTTGCTTTTTACGTCACATAGGGACTCAGTGGAAATCGAGTTCAGGTGAGTTGTCATCAAACCTTTGTTTCAGATCACAGAAGCGTCTCCCACAATGTTTGTCCGTGTGTCTTCACATATCATTTATTGTCTAAAGATGTACACGAATTTTTGCATTAATTTTGGTACACGGGGACTGAGAGAGTCTAATACACGTATTCCAGTGGACCTCGTAAATTTTCCTTTTTTTGTTAAATTTTAAAGAGTTGCATTTAACTGATATATTTTTTATGTTGATCGTTTTGTTTGATCCTTTTGGATTCACATGTCTAAGACGTTTGAACTAATCAAAGAGGTTGAATTTTCACGTTGTACAACTAACTTGTCGCTTTGTTAAATAACATCAACTGTAATATTTGAAAATGATATCTATAGGTTTTTACCGTTTGGCAGAAAGGTCAGTATATATGTGTATGTAGACAGAGAGGATAAATTAATCGATACAAAGGCTGAAAAAAGAAACAATATATGCTTAATATATAGATAAGTATCTATATAAGTTTCAGCCTACTTTAAAGTTTGTAATTTTATGTTTCAATTGTCCAATCCTGATTTGCGCATATGACTTATTTAGAATAGAAGAAAAACATATTTACCTATTAGTATAGTTTTTCTTACAGCAGAGATTTCATCCTTTCTAAATTTCTTTATATATGTATTTAAAATTGAATTATTCTTTTTTATTTCAGTTTCTACATAATTCTTAACGGCACGGTCTCCGTTTACATCGACCCTAGGATGACAGGCGAGGACGAAGGCGGTTATTTAACCCCAGCCCGCCGTAAAACCCCATCCCCGGCCCCTTCATCAGTTCCGGCCACCCCGGAACCTGTACAGTTTGATCCATCCGGTCCAAAGGGTACGCATGCGCTGGAGACACTGGCGGAAGAGGAAGAAGATGAAAATGAAGAGACAAAAAAGGTCAAAGTATTGCGGAAACCGGCACCAAAGAAACTGGCTGTTCTGGATCGCTCAAAGTTTGGGAAATTAATCGTGAGTTACGGTAAGAACAACTGAAAACATACTAAATGACAATTTAATTGTCATTTGAAAAGTTTGGATGAAAATTGATATCAAAAACATATGTTGTTAATGCGATTATTATGTGAAAGCATTAAGTTATAGGAAAAGTTTTTAAGTTTCCTAATTTTTATTGAAATATTACCATTTTTCAGGACCCGGTAAATCGTTTGGAGAGGTTGCACTTGTGAAGAGAGATAGCTTTCGGAACGCCTCTATCATTGCAGATGAGGATGTAGACCTTTTGGTGATCGGACAAGACTTATTCGATAGATCCTTGAAGGTGACAGAATTGATTGATCTACCATTCAGATAAAAAGATTTTAAAGAATATAGAGTCTGTCAAAAGTAAATAGTTAAAATAAATTGAAAATACGATAAGTATTTCTCTTCATCCATCAACGAAAGAAAGAAGTGATAAATTTGATTAGTTTTTAGAATCCAATATTCTCCAATACAGTGTTTTAATTCTAATTTGTAATATGTACCTCTTTTCCTTAACAGTCTGATCATGAGAGGGAATTTGCGGAGATAAACAATTTTATCGAGTCTCATCCTTTTTTCTGTCACATGCCTAACAAACTTAAGAAGCTCTTGGAGATGAGTTTGAGGAGGGAGACATTTATCTTTGACACCGTGATGGTGAAACAGGGAGACCCCGTGATAGGACTTCACTTTATACTCAAGTATAAACATAAGTATTTAAGTATACAGCTAAGTCAAAGTAATCAAGTATACACTTAAGTATTTAAGTATACAGCAAAGTCAAAGTATTCAAGTATACACTTAAGTATTTAAGTATACAGCTAAGTCAAAGTAATCAAGTATACACCTAAGTATATAAGTATACAGTTAAGTCAAAGTAATCAAGTATACACCTAAGTATTTAAGTATACAGCTAAGTCAAAGTAATCAAGTATACACCTAAGTATTTAAGTATACAGCAAAGTCAAAGTATTCAAGTATACACCTAAGTATTTAAGTATACAGCTAAGTCAAAATAATCAAGTATACACCTAAGTATATAAGTATACAGTTAAGTCAAAGTAATCAAGTATATATACCCCAGAAGTATTTAAGTATACAGCTTCATGCAAGTCAAAGTATTCAATTTTACACCTAATTAGTTAGTAGTATTTAAGTATACGGCTAGGTCAAACTAGTTTTGTTGCTGCTAATTTAGTGAAATATTCAAGTTGACAGCTAATTTATTGAAGTATTCAAGTATATGTGTACTGTCCAGCTATTGAAGTTATAGGAGATAACAAACAATATTCAAGCTCATTTGTCCATTTAAACAAAATTAATCAGAGCAAATACGGATCTCTTTACCATCAGAGGTGGGATCAGCTGCCATGGAGGAGTGAGCATCCTTTGCCGACCGGTCACACAGGCATATGGCATGTGCTTGTCAAGGTCGGGGAATAACGAAAAATCCGTTGACAATTCAGTGTGTGAACAATGGTCTAACAATTAATATGAAAAACGTCAGTCAGCATTTAATTTAATGATAAATTGTATTTGCTGACAAGGTCATTGTATAGGCCACAGAACTTAAGAAATGATGAATTTAAACAAAACTGTTGATAATCTTGTTTCATCGACAGTTTTTCAATAAATTACCCCGTTTTAGAAATTGCTCATACGTAGAGCATGCTCTGGTGTATCGAATCGAATCAACTGAGAGATATAAACCTCATATGCAGGTGATGAAGGAACTATATTGCTGCTCAAGAAGGGAAGTTGACAATTGAAAAATTAAAATCATTAGGTTCATCATAAAGCTTAGACCAGGAACGCCTCTTTCTAGTAAAATATCCAAATATTAAAAAGATGTGTCGGACTCTGTGATATATATAATTATAATATTATTTCAAGTAAACTGTGATATATATTGTATTGACAATTGGATGGAAATAAGTATTGTTAATTTATAATACGTCGTCGATATATCTAAATGTCAAGAAAGCCACAGAAAGTGTTTTTCTTCTCCTTTATAACATTTTGGATAAATTTTGCTTCATATAATACAAAAATAAATCTGCTGATAACGGGGCTCAGTTACATGTAGATGTATTGTTGGAAGGCTCCCTACAACACATAGGTATTGTCAATCAGAAACTCAAGCATCTCTTTAATATCAACTGCAGAGTACTTGTGTGCTTAATCCGTAATATAATAGAACACGAATATAATTTGTCTTTTAACAAGATAATTTTAATTGCAAATGACCAATAAAAAGTTAAATAAAATTACGACTTCTATTGAAAAAGTAAATACATAAAATGTCAAAAAGTCTGTAGTTTAATCTATCGTGGGGAACACTTGTATGAAGTTTAAACAGTCTTTTTGTTGATATTATTGATTTTGATAAAATTTTGTGATTTCAAATTACAAAAACATTCTAACTATGAAGTATTCAAGCAAACAGAATATCTATTGAAATATTCAACTATACAGTCTACCTCTGGCTACTGAAGTATTCAAGTATTAAATCTAACTTTAATATTAAAGATTTTAAGTATATAACTAAAGCATGTAAGTTTTCAAAAATATAATCTAAAAAAATTGAAATATTCAAGTATATACAACCGAATCATTGATGTATTCAAGTATACTTTCGAATTACTTAAGCTTTTTCACATTTTTAGTTTTCAGCTGTACTTTTTGCTATTAAATTTTTCCAAATATTACAGGGGCCAGGCCAATGTAATAGTCGAGCCACACAAACATCAAAAACAGTACTCACATCTGTGGCCCTTTGAGGCGGGTATCGATATCTACTCAGTGGAATTTGAGCATCTCAGGTAGGAAAAGAAAAACATGTTAGATAAGTTTTATGAAAATGTTCCAATGAGTTTTTTGCTATAAACTTTTACTTATTTTTTATCCTTATATTGTTCTTTATATCTCTTGCATTAGGATAGGAGCGTCTTGGGAACAAATTACGTTACTGGAAATAAAATGTATTCAATATATGCAGAGCCTATATTTTGACAAGTGAAATCTGATTTATTGGTTATTAATTCAATTAATAAAGTTTTTGCCTCCGTGTAACATGGAATTAAACACAGATGTAAACATTTAATTCTTTTCAAAATTGTTATAATTATACAATTTCAAATTTCTTTTTTTTTTGAAAAAAAAACTAATATCAAATGATTTTCCTATGTATAGTCCTACTTATAGGAAAAAGTAAGTCGTAGAAGGTGATTGGAATATTTCATATTTTAATTAATATATATTTTTTTTATTTTAATTTTTATTATTCAGAATTGGATTTTATGGAACATTATTGTTTTGTTTGTAACTTTAACTTTATAAATTCTCCTTTTTTGGTCTTGCAGTAGTTCACAACACAAAATTCTCTGGACATTGTTTCTTGTGACCTTTAATGCTTTTAAACGCTTTTTTACTGAAGTTCAGTTCAGAGAAAGATTTTTTTATTCTAAATTTTATTCGAAGGCAGTAAAAAATATTTCTTTTTCTAAACTGGCATTAAAGGGGCTTCTATTTTTCATCATTTTGATAAAACAGTTTTAGGTAGCACACACATTTTTAATTACAGTATTTCTCACATGTTGAAGTTACTTTAAAAAATCACACATATTAACCTTAAAATATTTGTCGACTACATTTGAACTTGCAATATAGAAAAAAAAATCCTATTTGAATAAGATGTAGATGCTTTTTATTCTTTATGGAAAAGGGAGAAAAGAAAGTGAGTAATATCTGTGTATATATATGTAGAAGCAAAATGAAATATTTGTTTAATTTAGGATGTTGTTGAACACAGACATATTGTTGGTAAATGCTAGCCTATGTTGAAAACGCTTTCGTTGTTGTACTGTTTATATTTTACGTATTTGAATGTTTATAAAATAGTTTAAATGTATCTTGAAGAAAATGAAAAAGTTCTTTTTCATTTTGGTCTCACTAAATGCTGCCTCCCATTAATCATATTGTTAAGAAATATAATTATATATTGAAAGCAAATAGTTCAGAAATTAATTCTTCTATTAGCCTACATATTAATTAGAATTGTACGTATAAATGTCGGCTAAATTTCAAATTCCTGGAATGTGCTTGTTTTCAGGGAAGCCAGAAGACAAGCGATTCTCAGGAAGTATGAGGACCCCGCTGTGTGGGAGACGAAGTCAGAGGAACTGGTCATAAGACGGACAGAGGGATATGCTGCGGTGGAAAAACGAATGAAGGAACGACACATAGATCTGTGCTCGATTCAGGAACGCGAGGTGATAGGGGATATCGAAATCCTCAACAATCTCAGTACCTATATGCACACAGTAAAATGCACTGCGAATACTGAAGTGTTTATATTAGACACGAAAAACTATGAGAGAATTGTTGGGAAAAGAAATACCACCACCATCGATATTATGCGAGAACACGTGAAAGCGAAGCTGGAAACAAGAATGAACATGAAACAAGGACATTTAGTACCGTTTTTGCAATTTTTGCATTTTAAAATGACGGAGGAGTCTTTACCTCAGTCTAAACCTTTACCTCCATTAAAAACCTCCAAAACACTTCCAGACAGAGATACCATGCTTCAGCAGCTGCTGCAGTGGTTCAAAGACGGAAAATCCACCATCGTGGAACCGTTCACTCCTGGAGCAGTGTTTTACAAGGAACTCATGAAAGAAAAGGCAGCAGCTCGAAAAGACCGACCTCCACCCGTGAAGACAAGCGTTGCTCTCACTCTTCGAGCAAATCGAAGAAATCAGCCGCCAAGAAAACCGAGAAGTTTGATGGAAATAAGGGAATCCCTTCGGCAGATGATGGAAGCAGAAGTTATAGAATTCGAAAATGAGAACGCGAAAAAACAGATAGGGTCCCGACGAAAACCAAAAGAAAGGAGAGCGAAGGGTCGTCGAAGACATCCATCACAAACGCAATCCAATTTTGAGGGAAGCAGAAGTAAAGCAGCCTCGCTTCAGTCACTAGCCTCGCTTCCAAATTACTTAGGAGAAAAAGAGAATGATGAAGCTGACAACTCACTTCTAACAATACTTGCAAACCATAATAAGCCGACAAGTGAAAATGAAAATAAACCAAAGAGTAGAAGAGGTTCCTTAGAGGACCAGAAGAATGTGAAACCAGTTTTAATTACGGAGGTAAATCGTAAGGACCAGCGCCTAGAACTACCGAATATCAAAGAAGAGAGAACACAGGAAGAAATTTTACTTAAAAAACAAAATTTAGGACATAATTCCAAAGAAAATTTCCCATTAGAAACTCAGAAATCTGATGTGGCAGCTAGAACACAATTTCAGGTTCCAAATGCAGCTAAATCAAAGGAACTTCAAGTTTCAAACTTGGAAAATGTTTCAACTCTGATCGGAGAAGGAAGTGTGAAAGAAAAGGCTTTACCAGACATCGATGGAGCAGACACCTTCTCCATTGAAAAGAAGGGCAAAGAAAACTCTAAGTGGGCTACTGCAATGAAATTTGTAAACGAGAATATCCATCGGCGACTTGTAGCAAACAAGGACCCTGAGCATGATACTCTTCCACATTACGATGACTACGAATCTAATGATAAAAATCTGTCTTTCCTAGAGAACAGACTTATGGCTTTCCATGTGAAATATGGAGGAAAGTCAAAGATACACATGAAATTACCAAAACTAGCGCGATTCACCGTAGACGTAAGTACAATTATGCCTTCCATATGCTAAGAATAAAAATTTTAAACACATTGTTTCCCGCAGTTCGGATATTTTTTTAGAATACAGAATAGAGAAATAGTTATAAATATGTAATTGATAAATGACGCAAGGGAAATACATGAACATTGAGAGATACTTCAAATGAATCCTACGTACAAAATAAACAGGCTTCTTGGTATCAGTTTTAACATTTCATTGATAAGAATATAAAGACTTTGATGGAATCATTGAATCCCAGAAATTTGAGTTTCTGTACAAAAAATTTATTTACACTTGGATACATATTAAGTTACATAATATTTTAAAGCAATTTGAGCTGCAACTTTGACGTCGGAAATTTTTGTCACAATATAACTAATTAACTATTTCAATGACAGAAAAAAATGTTTATAAACCTCTGTTGTTCGTATTTGCGATGGAAGAAGTATTTACAAACTTTAAAAGATGCAAAATTACGTTATTGTCGTCCTGTACAATATTGATTTCATTTATAATACTATACATTCCATTGAACTGAAATCTTTCTTCTAAAAAAGATTAATACTTAATTGTAGTCTAATTAATCACAAAGGTTTAAATTACATACAGATTTGTCATAACAGCACATTTTAAAAGCAAAATAAAATACTCAAAAATGCAGCTCATATTGCTTTAACTGAAAAATCATCAAATGTAAAGAAAAAATATGTTATAAGTAGAATTAAAGTACTAGTAGATATAAGCATTCACTTTTCACTCTCACTTTAAGAAACTTTTAATTATTTACATAAAAAATTAACATTCATTTCACACGTTGCAAAAGATCCAACGATAAAACTCATTACAATTTATAGCAATAAAATTATTAAATTTATTGTATATATTAGAAATTGAAGTGCAAAACTACATGAAGGAATTTATATGCATATATATATTTGTCATCTTTTGTTACAATTGTTTTTTTTATCACCTAAGAGCATTATATAAATTTCAATTTAAAAGTTTTTATTTCAGGAGAATGAAACCAAAGCTCCAAAACCTGGTGGAAAAGTATGGATACGACGGCGCATGTGCAGATTTGCTGACAACAAGATCCAAGTCAAAGATCATAAACATGTCCGCCACCATATTGTTGACGACATTCCAGAATTTGATAACGTACAAAAACAAAAACGAATTATGCAAGCTTTTCTGTGATAAAAAATGTTATAGGACTTAATAAATCAGTTGATATAGATGTTTTCATTTTTGAAAATAAGTATTAATAAAGATTACATTTGTTACAGATTCTACAATTTTTTTATGTACTTGTTTGTGCAGAAATGATTACATAATATACCGATGTACGAAAATTCATAAAAAGTTTGTGCAGAATATATGAAAATGTAATCTCAAATGGCCGAAATAAAAAAAAATATCAAATCAAATCAAAAGATCTTTTAATATTGGTGGCATTTTAAAATTTAATATTTAATAACTTTAAAGTTATTTCTCTATTTCTTTTCTCAGAGTCTGAGAAATGTAACATCTGTCTATTGAATTTTCTAATTGAAAATTTAAAGGATGCCATTTCGTATTTACTCTAAATCAATAAATAAAGATTTTAGAGCATGCATGATAAAAACTGCATATTTACACGAACAACGCTTATTATTATTTTCAGAAATTCCCAAACATTACCTTATCCACCAAGTAACTGTAAAACTGATTTCATCTCAAAGTAAATCTATTAAAATCCTTCTAACTGTACTTGTGTTGATGGACTTCATATTAAGAATTATATGAATAGTAAATGAAGTAGAAGTTCTTGTCATGTATGTGCGAACGATTACATCTGCAAACTGGATCGCAAAACCACATGTAATCAATCTCTTCATAATTATTTGTACTTTGCCAATTGCCTTAGTTTCAAACAACCTTTTTCATTTCGAGTGCGTTGATCAGCTGTTGAAATAAACGGGATAATGGTGACAAAATCAGATAAATTCTTCACACTTTAAATGTTCCTTTAATAAGGTAAATAAAATATGGTTATGACAAACAGAACAGTAAATAATTGAGCTCAAAATTCCATTGAAAACAACACAAATTGGTGGCAAAGTTTCATTCAGATTCAATTTTGATATTTTTATATCACACTTCACCTCAAGTAATTGGAAGAAGGAAACCTATTGAATCATTCTATACTGAATGCAAAATTTTAAAAATCCTTTTTCGTCTAGACAACAACATTTTTTAAATATCAGCCTTCACTTTACATTAAAAGTAACTTTTGAATCGATAAAATATAGGAGAAATCTTACCAAAAATACTGCTTTCTTAAACCAGAGAGGGAGAGAGAGAGAGAGAGAGATAGAGATGAACAAATAAATAGCATTCGTTTCGCATAGGAAGAACCCTTCTATTGTTACATTTTTATTTATTATATGATAAAAGTATATGTTTACGATAACCTACCTCTTAATGGACCTCTGGTAGTAGGGATAAAATATAATTAATTTCAAACAATTATACAAATGTTTTAGAAATTAAAAAAAAAATCAATGACAATAATGAAATTTAACACTCAAATTTCAGCAGAGCAAACTTGGACCTCTTAAACCATCAGATGTGGGATCAGGTGGTGTAGAGGAGAAGCATTCCCTGTCGACCGCCAACACCGTCATATAATCATAGATAGAATCTATATTTTGGAAAAATGACAAAATCCTTAGACAATTCAAATTGTAAAAACTGGTCTACAAATAATGATGGAAAGAGAATCACTCAGCATCTGGTTTAATGACAAATTGAATTTGCTGACAAGATCATTGTATCAACCATAGAACTTGCAAAATAATGACTTTAAACGAGATTTCATATTCTTGTTTCATCAACTTGCTTATCAATAGCATGCTTCGTTGAAGAAATAAGGGAAATTGACGCTAGAAAAGATACAGTACCAGTCATCACATTCAAGCAGGTAACAATATTGTTTTTGTTTTGTTTGTAAGGCTCATTATTTAAATTGTATTTTAAAGGAACTGGGATTTACATGTGAATTTCTACAAATGGTATTCCAACTTATACAAATAATTATCTTTCTAAAGATGAAATTTTTTTTTAAATCATGCCAGTTTTGAATATTTTTTTTATATTCCCAACAATCAACATGAATGTGAATTACCATATCTATGTTGGATTCAAAAACGTCATAGAATTCTTACAAACAAAGATAGCGGGTTCCAGTAAAAAATAACATCAATCTAATGAAAAAAATGTTATATTGTTACTAACATCTAACAACAATGATCATGTCAGAGGTCAAATTCTGAACAACTCTAAACTTATTCGTTTCAACAAATATACGATGATTTTGTGGGCGACGATTTGATTGGTTGATAGAATTTGAATTTTTCTATGGGATGTTGTTAGATGTTGGTGTAGCAAGTACGCAAGCGGATATAACATCTAATATTCATTAGATTGATGTTTGATTTTAATTAGATTGCCGAAACATGGCTGAAATATTGCCGACTCGGCGTTAAACAATGATCAATCATTCATTTTTTACTCCCCACTAAAATTTTAGCAGTAATGAAGAAGAAACAACCGGAGTCCAAAATATCAGAGGTGGGATCAGGTGCCATGGAAGAGTGAGCATTCCCTGCTGACCGGTCACAACCGCCTTGTGCTCCTTGTCACGATCTGGAAATAACGGAAAAATCCGTTGTCAATTCAGTGTTTGAAAGTGACTAACACTTAGTATGAAAAAGTCAGTCAGCATTTGACTCAATGATAATTTGTATTTGCTGACAAGGTCATTGTATCGACCATAAATCTTACGGATGACTTTCAACGAGACTGCTGACATTCTTGTCTCATCAACTTGTCTGTCAATAATTTACCTCGTTTTAGAAATTGTTCATACGTAGAGCATGCCCTTGCGTATCGAATCAGCTGAGATATATGAACCCCGTATGCAGACGATGAAGGTATATTGCTGCATAAGTAAGGGAACTTGACAATAGAAAAGTTAAAGACATCACGTTTATCATAGAGCTTGGTTTGTTAGATTACCATTAACATCTCATCTATTCAAGTAAAATATCCAAATATGAACCAGATGTGTCAGACCCTGTGGTATCTTTTATCTCAAACTCACCAGGATATATCGTATCGACATAAGAAAGGAAATTACCATTGTTAATTGAAACACGTCGTCAATATTCATGTATCTAAATGCCGACTTGAAGGCCACAGCAATGTTTCTTTTAACGCATAAGATTTTGCATAAATTCTATCCATATGACTACAAAAATAAGTCTGCTAAAAACGGGGCATAATTGATACCCATGGAAATTCCATAGATCGCTGGAAGACCAAGGTCTCCAAAAACAACATAGATATTGTCAATTAGAAACTCAAACATCTTTTTGATGTGAACTTCAGAGTACTTGTGTGTACAATCAGAAAGTTTTTAAACAACATTTTTTTTGCAAATGACCAATAACAAGGTACGTACTTTACAAGTTCCAGTTTTATTGAAAAAGCAGCTGTCAATGATATCAAAAAGCCTGGACTTTTGTTTATCGTGGGGCTTTTTATAAAATCTTGTGATTTCAAATTGTCCAAAAGTTCCTTGGAATTTTTAAGTATCCACATCTGATTTACACCACTTCTTGAATATATTGTAGCACAGTACTCTTGAAGTTTCACCTTAACTGCTGCTAATATCTTAGTGAGGAGTTTAGAAAGAGGATTGGTTGAATATTAACTAGAACCCAATATGTATCTTTGTTTGTAAGGATTCTTATGAAGTTTCAGAATCCAATATACATACATGTATAGATAAATGATAGTTTAAATTCATTTTGGTTCTTTGAGATGTTAAAAATATTTAAAAAACTGACAAATTATTTTGAAGAATTTCTTCCTCAGAAAGGGAACTATGAGTATAAGTTGGATTACCGTTTGTAGAATTCATCCAAGTTCTTCTAAAATACAATTTATATAATGAAAATTTGAAATTAAAAAAACTGAAATAAAAAAATCTTACCGAAATCAACAGCATAAAATCTTACCACTTTTCAACTTTATGTACAACAACTCCCCACGATAAACAGAAGTCCAGATCATTGACAGCTACTTTTTAAATAAAAATGGAACTCGTAAATTTACTTATTTTCTCATTTGTTATTTGCAAAATCATTTGCTAAAAACATTTTGATTGTACTCTGAAGTAGATATTAAAAAGATGCTTGAATCTGTGATTGACACTTTCTATGTGGTTTTTGGAAACCAGTGGCCCTTATCACAAAAAGTCTTACCTCTAGGATAAAAAAAAAATTGACATCTCTGTAATTTGTTGACTAATAAATGTATTAATTTTTTATCGAAAATTTTTTAAAATGTTACTTACTGTGATAGAAATATGGGATATTTTGATGACATACTACAGCTTAGATACGTGTTTAGGAATGGGAAACTTTTTGTCTTAGTCGTAAGATTCTGAACAGTAGCTGTCAATAATGCGTGTAACAAAGGTTGTACGTTAATTTATCAGTATGAAATATTGAAATGTATGCAAGTTTGAATGTCATTGGTTTTGGTAAAGAAAAAACCTACCTAAATACACTTTTATCAATTTATTGTACAGTTGTACAATAATTGTCACATTTCTCCTCCACCACTTCTAATATTCTAGTGAAAATTAAGGGGAAAAGGCCATGGGAAAATGCTTATATACTGAAACTGATATGTATACTGTATCTTTGTAAGGAATTTCGTTTTAATTAGCTTTACTATTTATTGACACACCTGAAAGCATCAGATAAAATATCTAAGTCTGATACTGTTTAAAGGCAATACTGCACTTAAACCCAAAAAATTGTTCTACTCCAAATATAATTAAGTTTTTGTGAAGTCATGTGCCAAAATGATGTTGATTCTTTGAGAAAAAAAAATATACAATTATCACAGGCACCTGGCGTTACTTATTTTTCTTTTAATAAAAAAAATATACCCTTACCTTAATTAAAAGAAAAATAAGTAACGTCAGGTGCCTGTGACATTTATTTCTAAAATTAAGAGTATGATCTGTTCTCTCCTTGTGTTGCACCTTCTGCTTGACCCACTGTATTATATGTATGTTTTATATGTTTCTGTTTATCTTTCAATTTATATTCAGACTAAAATATTTTATATATTTTATGCAATTATTCTTGAGAGCTCAGATTTATATTTAATAATCGAAAGCAATTACAAAACGAAGTAGGGTTAATTGGTAAAGTATTAAAAGCTTCATAAAATTATTCCAATATATGTTTTTGGGGAACATTTGTTAGTTACATAACACGAAAATTACAAGTTTATAATCAAACAATTTGTTCGTAAATACTGAAAAAAATGGGATTTTTTTCAATTTTTTTTCAATTGATATTTTGAAAATGATTAAATATTTCTGCACTTAGTTTTACAATTAATCTTGAATTAATCATTATTACATGTATGAACAAAGCAATAACATACCAAAACTATCACGAATCAAACTTTTTTTCCCGAGTGAATTTTCGCCTATATAATAGAGTATTCGATTTTTTAAAGTAACATTATGTATATTCTTTAATGGTATCTAAACCTTTTCCTATTTTCACTTATCCTAACAATTGCTTTATAATAACTCCCAAGTGAAGCATAACTTAGGTACCCTCTGTGGTTTCAAAACAAGTCTTTTGATACCTATTATCCTATTTTTAAGAAAAAATATGAAAACTGAAACAAATTCATTTCTTTAATGGGAGTTACATGTAGTACTATTCAATAAGTTCGCGAACTTTTTGATCACCACTCGTATATTCCATTATGGTAAAAATAATAAATATCTTCTTGATATATAACACACATAAATTTATTTTATAGTTTAAGTCTGCCGGTGAAATACATGTAATATATTATAAAAGAAATTTTGATATTATCCAATATACTAATCTAATCTTATAAAATTAAAACAACATATAACCATGATTTTAATATTACATTTTAAAATACATGTAATACATTTATGAAATGATTTTAAAATACATGTACATATGTAATACATTTATGAAATGAATAATTTTGTTTAAATGAATTATATCAATCTTAAATTAATTTTCCCAGAACAATAAAACAATTAAAGGTATTTGCATTATTTAGTACAAAAAAGAGAAACTCTTTCCTTGTGAATTTCTTAACTATCAGTACGGTGAACATCATGTGAAATTCTTACTTCGATCATAAGATAAAAATCTAAGGTTGTCTGACCATCATTCTGACTTCCGTCATGGAATACTCGAATCCTTTCCAAGCGTACCAGTTGATGCCATTAGAGTTATCTGTGTTGCCGTACTCACCATTCAGATTAGACTCATGACAAGAGTTATACCACCAACCCCCAAGTCTACCCAGAGCGCAATTGTACCAAGAGTTGAGATCGTTGTCGTTATCAAATGTACTAAATTTCATGTTGTTGTGGTAAAGAAAACTGTCCCCTGTTGATTTAAAAAAGAATAAAATGTAAGAGAGGAAATACATAACTGCATAATGAATAGTTATCATTATACAAGTTTTTGTCTTTCATTTTTTCTTTGTATATCCATACAAGCAAACACTCAAATACAAAATTAACGTTCATTTGGAACGATGGCGGAAAGAAAAAAAGAGAAGGGGAGCGGGATGTACCTGCATTTCCAGAATAACCCGATACATGTAATCTGTATTCGGTATTCTCTCCATCAATGTAGAAGTTACTGTACTCTGCATACTTCCAAACGCAGTTGTGATCCATCAGCTCGATTCTAAGATGCGTATATCCTTCCTGTGTTAGGTAGTATATGTTTTGATTACCTGCGAATACATGTATAATGTAATATTCGAGATGATGTAATTTCAAAAGCATTATAAAAACAGTGTATTAATAGTAGTGATCAGGAAAATGTGTAAAGTACAATATCTTAATTTGAAACAACTTATCAAGTAACACATTTTTTCAACGCAACAGAAAATTTGATTTGGAAATATATACTACATGTAGAAGTCAACCTGTATGCATTTATGTAACTATGTACACGGTTTTCTCATCTGTTGGTTTACACAAAGTCAGCATTATTAAGTCATGTACACTTCACCCTGGATTGAGGGGGGATGAATTTCACACTTGGTATGGTTAATAGATGATCGCTATTACCATGTAATCACTTTGACTTCAGTTTTATATGATTAAAGGATATTGTTAAAGTGTATTTATAGTCACTATAAATTCCATACAAGCGCAAACAGTTCATAACATTACATATTCACCGGATTTGAGGCTGAATTCACCGGAGGGTTAGTGCGTGTGCAGCGGTATTGTGATGTCACAATCAACATCCCAAACAACGTTGTAAACAATGTGTTGCAGTGCCTGCATCAGAAAAGGTATGTATTTGAGCGGGTAAAAAAATTTTTGTTAAACCTTTCAAATAGCTTCAGAAATTAAATAAATAAAACGTTCTTATCTAAACATTTCAACGACGTATATTAACACATTGTACACAAACATATCGAAAGGAAAACACGAGTTTTAAGTAACATGAATTGTAATCGTGAAAACATTTTTTATTTCAATGTCAGAATGGTTTAATCAAACGCTCAGCGAAATGGCGGAGTTGACAGAGACAGCCGCCATCTTGGGCCCGCTTCAGATTTTCAAATATTAATATCTTAATTATTAAAACAATTTATATTGAATAATCCAGCATTCCAAAAATAAATAATGAAAAACAAAAAAATGAAAATTTGGACTTTTTTTGGCTTCCGGTAGCGACAGGAAGTATGGAAAAGTTGTGGAAAGTATTGATCAAAAAACTCTGAAAGTTTCACATTGATATCTTTTACCGTTTTTGAGTTTAATCGTGGACAAAATGTCGTTTTAAAATCAGGAAAATGGTCCAAAACTTGACACCAGAGAGGAATTTCCAAAAACTTCTTGGAAAAACAAACACATGAAAATTTCATGTAACACCAGTAGTTGTCGAGAAAGAGAAAAATAATAATAATGATAATAATAATAAGAAACAGTATAATAACTATAAGGTCTTCCGTGAAGACGGAAGACCTTAATTACATATTCACCGGATTTGAGGCTGAATTCACCGGAGGGTTAGTGCGTGTGCAGCGGTATTGTGATGTCACAATCAACATCCCAAACAACGTTGTAAACAATGGTTGCAGTGCCTGCATCAAGGTATGTATTTGAGCGGGTAAAAAAAGTTTGTTAAACCTTTCACAGGATTATTTCTAAAATTTCGATATTACAGTTTTCCACCTCCGTGTTTTCCTTTCTTATTTTCGCTGTGTAAGACGTCCAAATGTTTAAAAAATAATCCTGCAGTAGGTTTGTAGGCAATAGGTTTTCCTGCTCAGATACGTAGCTCGCTGCTGCCGTTGCAACCATTGTTTACAACCTTGTAAAGGTATTGAGATCACAATGCCGCTGCACGCACGATGACCCTCCGATGAATACAGCACCAAATCCAGTGAATATGCAGTGTTCTGAACTGTTTGCGCTTGTAAATATTATATAGGGAATATAAATAGACTACATAATAAAACAATCATGGACTCTTTTGTTGTTTAACAAACAATATTCAACACCAAAAGAGCCCATAATTGTAAAATACAAAGTTTTAAATATGATTTAAATGATAAGCAGCTTAATTAGCACGAAAATGACACTCTAGTCATGGATATTATCGTTCCTTTCGTGTAGGAAGAAATTCTCATAAACTCATGCTTACAGTTTGTGCGTTTGATGTCTGTAAATAATGATGATTTTTTAAAAAACAAATCCTAATATAATTATGTATTTTTTATTTAAAACTTTTCATTCTTTTCCTGTACATAGGACACAAAGAATGTATATTATATTAACTTTCATAATGATCACTAAATTAGAATTTTTAGCGAGGATTTCATTTTGGCATTATTAGCGAGGGTTGTGACATCGCTAAAATTTAATATCGCTAAAAATTAATTGCGTTCTATTTTAAAAGCTTCTCTGGTGAACATTTTAAAATCGCTAAAATTGCATCTTGCTAAAAATAGATTACCAGTTTTAATGCACAAATCGCTAAATTTGCGTCTCGCTAAAATTTCCACTTATACGGTACATAAATGCTAGTATTTCGCTGAAGATTCCTTGATCCTCTGATTAGAGAGATCATACCATTGAAATAATAGCTTTTACGAACTAGAGCCGAGCTCGTTGCAAAGCAACGAGTAGGTCTTCCGTCCTTTTTGACCGGAAGTAACTTTTATTTAAAAAAAAAGCGTAATGAAGTCTTTTCCAAATCTACATAGGACACAAAGAATATATTATATTACCCAAAAACCTCTCATTAACTTTTATTTTAGACCCCATTAGATAAAGCTTGATATTTTGAACAAGTTTGCTTCTTTGATGCATAACAAATTCTCAATACTTTTTGAGATATATATATCATATTCTACACAAATTATGTTCTATATATTTTAACAAAATATTTTTAGTTTAGAAGATAGAAAAATATGAGTAATTTTTGGTTATTTTAAGCGTTCTTATTTTTGACCCCTATATAGCGCCATTTTGAATACAGAAATCGAAAAACAAAAACCGATGTGCACAACTTCAATCCTTCTATTATCTAAAATCAGTAGAGAGATCGAAAGCCTATAAATTTTCCTTTAAAGGGAAATAACTCAAAACCGGAAGTGGCTTTTTGAAATTTTAGACATTATTTGAAATAATAGCTTTTAGGAAGCAGAAGAAAAAAAACAAATTAAAAAAAACAATTATTTTTTCCTCTAGTTAAGCTGTTAGCAAAATAATTATTTATAAGTTAAATTTATAACAATATAGTATACAATTTTAATTAAATTTAGGACTTTGTAATACATGTATACGTAAGTGATCCGTATGAAATATATGGAGATAACAAACAGCACTCAAGCTCAAAATTCATCAAACAAAACAAAATTTGAGCAGAGCAAACACGGGACTTCAAAAAATCATAGATGGGATCAGGTGCCGCGCATCTTATCCTTTCAATTTGAATTCCTCAATATTTCCTCATTTAACATACACTGTACATGTACCGTACCTATCCAGAACTCCGAGTCACGTGATCCAAATCCTCTCTGGTATTGTGTCCAGTTCTGTTTAAAGTTAACAGATCCATCAAATCTTCTTTGAATAATCTACATTAAAAATAAAAGAGTAAGGTGCTAAGTCTTGATTTGAGTCTATCTAAAAACTCTGAAACAAGACTTATCATTTTGATAAATTTTTTTTTCATGATTTATTTTTGATATCAGATCTAGACTTGAATTAGAATATAGATTTGTTGAAGGCATTGATCTCTACGTTTGTCATTCTCACTTTCCTTGAAGATATTGGAGGTGCATACCCAATTGTGACTCAAGATAAAGCTTCATATTTTTTTCACATTTGTTGATATATCCGACTTTAATTGAATATTGCCTTATCTTTTAGAAAAATTACATCTCTTACATGAAACATTTATTAAAGAACAAAGTTTATTTGATTGTAGGTTCTGTTTTTTAATTTTAAAAATTTATTTCTCATTGTTGTTTTTGTTTTTTATTTTGTTTTGTCCTTTTCCCGTATACCCTACACTAATACAAACATTCCATTTAAACTCGTCCTTTTGACAAGTCTTGTGCCTTGTGAAATCTTGTAACAAATAAGCAGCAATATGTGATATACCGTCCATAAATAGCTGTCCTGGTGGCAGATGGTGGACACTGGTGAACTATTCATCAGTGGTACACTGCAGTAGAAGTCCAGTCCTTTAAAAGGAAATATTTTCAAAAACATCAATTTGCATTAAGTAGTATAGGCAATATTTTAGAAAAACAGCCAAAAACAACTTTTTATCTAAAGCTTAAGTTAAGCATTGATGCTAAATTGTAAAAGTAATTGTTCATGGATGTGTGTGATCTAAACATATTACTTACTAATTTTTTTGTGACATAACGATGTCCAGCATACACGTACGGTCTACTTCTCTCTACTTCTTATGAAATTTGAACATGATTACTGTATCATTTCATTTTAAAACATACTTCTCAGAATATATCTTTGAAAATGCATTTACAGATAGTTTTATAATATTACTTTTAGTCTCTACTGGTAACATAAAAGCTTTGACATGAAAGGAAGAAAAACTATTTTTGATGTAAATATTTGCAAGGAAATCCAGGTTATTTATTCATTATAGTTGAGATTTTAATCAATTCACTCTGACAGCAAAAAAAGTATTTTCAACTGAACTGAAACATATTGATGACAGGTAAGGCGCTTGCTTTTATTGGAGCTTTATCAACTGTGTATAGCGTCTCGAAAATCCGGAACATTAAAGCTTTTTCAGAGAAAAAGAAGAAAGGATATACTGCTGAGCCATCATTCATACATATGATCTGAATATAAAGATAATTGAATTACACTGTTTCCTGAAATTCTGAAAGGTGTAAGATTTGAATATCTGTTTAGCGACATTGGAGACTAGACATAAAGTTGGATATATAATTTTGTATCCTCCAAGAGAGATGAGGAATCATTGTACATTTTCACCTGATCAATACGGAGAACCAAAGGCTGGTTTGACTTCTCAACAGGGGATGCTTACTCCTTCTAGGCACCTGATCCCATCTCTGTGGACATTACAACACTAAACTACTGATTTTCATATGAACGTTAGGTTTGGATTAACCTATGTCACTGATGAAATTTGTTAAATCAAGGATTTATTGAGAAGTATATTTTGGATAAGTACTCATATAGAGTGACTCAAAATCGCAGAGAAAATAGGGGGTCAGTGTTCATCTTACTGATCTACCGTACAATGAAGTTGACCTTTTTGTACTTAAATTTTAACTCTTTGGTTAATTACTTAAGGTCAAGATCTAGTAAATAACTTTAGACTAATTTTTTGGTGCTATATCCATTATGACGTCATAATCAATTTCAACTTTCTTTTTCCCGTACTTTACGGATTTAGCAGAATTATGTAGAAAAGGGGTATTTTCATGACGTTCAATTTGAAATCATATGAAAAGTAAACCGGATACCTATATCAAATTTGAAATTTTCCACAAACAAACTAATTCTTAGAGTTAATTACTTAAACCTTTATTTTTTTTTTTATCATCTTGAAGTATTTGACCTTGTAAAGCAATAAAGGAAATAATCTGTAGGCACCTCTCATTTACTAGATCTTGACCTTAAACCATTATTTTTTTTTATCAGAAGTAACCTTGGCAAAAATATTATCTTATTTTACGTAAAATATTTTGAATAATATTTATCATTGAAAATATCTTGCAAATTAATGCGCGTAAATTATTGCGTGACCTTTTTACACTAAAAAGAAACATATTTTGGGGTATTTAAAAAACTATATAGTCAATAAAACATTTTCTTAAATCAAGCTTTTTACGACTTGAGTGCTGATCAGTCACAAGTATCGAGTACTTTAAAATAATGAAGGAAAAAGTTGGGGTCAGTGATGTTAATTTTGAAATATTGGTCAAAATATGTGATTTTCAGGCAAAAAATGGTGTTAATTTTATAGTGACTAATTTGACATATCTTCATTTTTTGGCAAAGTTTGTTGAAGGAATGTGTAAAACTTGTTCTAAAAATATAAATGAAGACCTATATGAAACATTCCTAGCAATATCATAGTGGAAATATTCTGCGAGTAAAAGTATGTGAGGCTAAAATTCAAAGATATTAAATTTAATAAATGTGCAGATTTGAAGAATTATCTGCTAAATATCCTTCCACCACAAAAAAAATAGTCCCTCACAAATCTTGCTTCTTTGTAGCTTTTTGAGCAGTTTTGTTGTTGAATGTTAAAACATTAACATTGTTGAAATTAAATATGTTATAAAAATTGAATTTTGATGAATAGTTTTGAAGTAAGAGGTTCTGCATGAACTTTTCCAAAAAGCTGACGAGTGACCTACCTTAAATGTATCTAAACAAAAACAACAATGCAAGTGCGACGAAAACCGTTTTAAAATAAAAAGTAAATGAAATTTAATTGTTTATTGTATTCCTTTAAAAAGTACATGAACACAGTTTCAGCTAAAAATAATTGGAATTTAATTTGCCATTTTTTAATGTTTACAAATACTTAAGTAAGGTATTTCTAATGATCATCAAAAATTTGAATTTCAGTTGTTGAGATACAAGGCAGTTTAAGCCCGAGCCATGTTTGTCTTTATACAGCTTATATATGCTAATATATTATTCTTTCAAAGCAGATTTTTTAATAAAGAAGTAAATCCTAATTTCTAACTAGTCAGTTAGCTGAATCTCATGTTGTTATAAACATTATATTTTCTAAACGTAAACAAAATCAAGGCATGAGTCACGTAACATTATGATGAATTTCAAGTTCTGTATCTCCTTTGTAAATCAACAAATGATATTGAATTTTTGGATGATTATTAGAATTGCCTTCGTACCGAATTGTAAACATTAAAATTGGAATAAACAAATTTAGTTGAAATTTATTCCATGCCTCTTTAAATCCCATTGGACAAGTTTTGGCGGGCTTCAAAAGTTGTTCTTTACATGTCATCCGGGGGCATTAAGACGTCATGGTTCTTTACTTTACCAACACCTACTGTAGCATATTGCCTTGTTTTTTTTTTAATTTCTGATTCCACAGACCATCAATTTTCAATTATGCAATCCATTAATTACTAGCGCTTTGAATAGGAGCAGTTGCACTAATTTTTTTGGATTGTTGCGATCGATTCTCGAACTGACCTCCCCTCCCGATCACGCCCTTCCAAATGAACTACCGTAAAGATAGCTTGAATGTTCGTTTATTGACAGATAAACTGTAAATACTAAATCCAGAACAACGGCAAATTTCATTTAAGTTGAAATATTCATGACGGATTTTCATATACCTTAACGAAATTATATTAAGTTTTAATTTGAAAATATTGATTCTCAGCACTTTCAGAACTTTGGATTGGATGAGAATAAAACTTACCCTTTGGATTTTCATTTGACTGAAAATAAAATATGAAAATTTTAAAACAAATTATGAGTAAAAAATCAATTTGTTTTTATATTATTCATAGCGGTCTATATCATATGGTTTGACATAGTTTCACACACACACGCACCTTTTGATAACGAATGCATTGTTCAGTTGTTGAATCCGACGGGTTGATAGTACTAAAACCACTCAAGAGTCTGCATACGTTTGGTTCTCTTTTAACTAGGTCCATTCCTATGCAATCCTGATTTTTATTGCACTCTATACCACAATGGATTCCGGGGGAAGACTCGTTGTTTAAGGAGATTTCATCCAGTATACAAGACTTTTTGGGCACCTTACCCTTCTGAACGACAGAGTACCCATGTATCATGATTTCCATTGAAATAAAGGGCATCATCACACACAACACTGATATAAAGAAACATATTAATGCCCCCATTCCTCCAAATTTATTTCACTTGTTGTTCCAGAAGGAAACACGAGAATATACCCCGGTAAATCGAACCTTTTCTGTATCCTTTTAAAAATAATCAAAGGTTTTGTTTCTGTGCATTAAAAACGTTTTTGCCTTTATGCAATATCCTTTTAATGTAACTATATTTTGAAGAGTTGTTTAAACTGTGGGGTTAAAATAAATTGAAATCTGAAATCATATCACAGAGAAGAATTCTCAGTCGATATTTATTCCAAGGCGAAAAAACACAATGTTTGTCAGAGAGAAACTTTCCACTGATTTATGATGTTCAACAGTTATAAAGATTTTATATTCCTGTTATAAAAAGACCTCAAAAGCACGAAGAAAGAAAATTAAATACATTGTATGAGGTTCTTTCAAAACAGGAGCATATGTTTGTTTCATTTTGTAGAAATTCGTTTTAAGTACTCGTATTAATTTGTAATTCTTTTACAGAATATATTTGAGCTAAATACAATCTTATTGTTTCTTATAACTGAAACTTATGTATGTTTATTGAATAACTCATGTGAAACAATCCCTTTCTACATATTTTCAATCTTTTTCATGGAAACTCCACAGCCAAATACAACTTTATTTTAATATGGAAAATTAAGAATCATAGAATAACAAATCGCACAAGGTAATGTATTCTGATAACTATTTGTGGAGAAATTTTATAAATTTGTTTTCTTTGAACAAGTTAATATCTTTTTTTTCTCAGAACTCGCCAGTCAATTTAATAAGAATAACTCTAGTTGTACTTACAACTGAGTGCAACATTTTTAAAACCTTTTATGTAAGTTACATACCGTAAATTGAGTTTGCACTAGATAGGTAAAAATGATATTTGAAAAGTTAGTATTCAATTATAACATATAATTAACAAGCTGATGTGATGAAATTTATATATAAATTTATATATCAAAAATATCGACTGTATTGTGTCAGAAATCCTTGGATTTTTTCGATAATAATGTTAATGGCGAAGATAACGATCAGTGATTGATCTGGAAAAAAAAATCCACAAAGAATACATATACATATAAAGAGGGTAAAAACACTGGAAATATCGAGCTGGGATGAGGTTCCTAGGAAGAATAAGCATCCCCTGATCACCGGTCAGACCCACCGTAAGCCATATGTATTGAATAAGAAGGCATAATTCCCCGTAGTCAAATACAGTATAAAAACAAAGGCATAACAATTTGTATGAAAAAAGTCAGTCCAAATATAATCGACTGATATATTATTTAAAACATGTGCTAACATGGCCATTATAACTACCAAAGAATTTACGA